TATTTTGGAAATTACATAAACTTAGTTGATAAAGAACCAGCAGGGTAGGAGAGGATTGACTTCAATTTTGAAAGAAGTTCTACTGTGGCTAAAATCCTATCAGATAGCACTGGGTGCTACAGAGAAATCATTCATGAAGGAAGACTCAAACCATGTGGCACACTTGATTGTTGTCTTATTTTAAGAAATCACTACAGCTACCCCAAACTTCAGCAACCGCCACCCTGGGTCAGTCAGCAGCCACAACACTGAGACAAGACCCTTCACCAGCTAAAGATTGTGACTCATTGAAGGCTCACTTAATTGTTAGCATGTTTAGCAATAAAATAGTTTTATTTAAGTTACATACTTTTTTAGACAAAATGCTATTGTACACTTAATAGACTACAATATAGTGTAAACATATCTTTTACATGGACTGGGAAACCAAAAGAAATTATGTGACTTGCTTTATTGCAGTATTCACTTTGTTGGCGTGGTCTGGAACCAAACCCACAGTATTTCTGAGGAATCACAGCATTTACTACAGACAGCATTGTTCTAAGTGCAACAAACTATTATCTCATTCAACTTTCATAGCCATTCTAGGTTTTTGGCATTATTATTCTCTCTCACTTTGCAGATGAAAAAATAAGGCACACATGTTGAATTTAAATAGCTGGTGAGCACTGTAGGTGACTGGATGAAATTTAAACCCAAGAAGTTTGACTTCAGATCCTATATACTCAATCACTATTTGATAAAATTATGCTGCATATAATAATAAGTAATGATCAGGATAAATTGTACAAAGGACAAATATATGTTGCAGCCAGTAAATAATTTAGGGAATAAAAACATGCTGAACCATGACAGAGGGAGCCACCTTGGTCTAGACTGAACTGAGAATGTGTTCTCCTTTTCTACTATTCCATCCAAGCTTTCATAAATCTTTTGCCATGAACACTCATGTACACATTTTTGTTGTAGATGTGTATACAGTTTTGCTTAGTACATATCTGAGAATGGAATTGCTCATGCATGGCTATCCATATCGTTGGCCTTAGTGTATGTATAGAATGATGTTACAACATTATAAATTATTTGGCATACTGGATTTGCTAAGGTTGTCTGATCCTCACATTTTTTATTAGCTCTGTATTTGCCATTTCATGACAATGACTTGACTGGGTTAGAATGCTAATAGCCATCAATAATCAAATAGCAACTGAAACATTTTCCTCAAATAATCATATTGCTGAGATCCTGTTGATAATAGAAAACTCACTTTTAAAATAATGTAAATAAATATAACATTCCCACTTTATGAATAGGAATTATAATATAATTGATGCTGTATAGATTTTACCACTGTGAATTTTGAGTTCAACACAAAATATCACCGTGCTAACAAAGGTTTATAAGCATGATTTGTGCCCCTTGTACTATGCCAGAAGCAGACGAGACAGTAGTCAAATAAATGGGCCTGTGACTCTTCTCTAGGAACTTGAAGTTCAGTGATGTAGACAAGAATTTATATTAAATACAGTATTTGTACTCATGTAGATAATAACATCGATCATTAAAAGAATATAGAGAATTTAGGAAATAATGGAACTTAATGGGGTTGGGACAAGATAACTAACCTGGGAGAAGACTTCGCTAGAAAAATTTTCTCTCAGTTTTTTTCATAAAATATCCCTTTGATTTTGAAAAAATGACTTAAAATAAATGTTTTTAGATATCATTCAATAAATCCCTTATATGAAGAAAAATAAAGGAAACTATAATAAAAATCTACCATGTCACACCTTTCTTGTATTTGAGTCCTTATTTGGCTTGTGGAATTAAACCTGAAGATTTGAAACCTTAAAGTTTTCCATCGATTTAATCATTTTTCAACTCCATATTGTGTTTATTTCAGAGACATCCATAAGGCCTATTGTGATATATTGGAACATCTGCCCCTGGACTAAACGGTTCCAGAGATCTGTTCTATGAAACTTCTAGAATTGCCTTTTCCGGTACTCTCCCCTCTCCATGCTGTTGCCTCCTTTTCATTTTCATTTATCTTATTTGACGCTTGTCTGTAAAAAACCATAATGCCACTCTGATTTTCTGGCTCTAAATCTATGAGAGCCTGGAATCCATACCATAGCTTTATTTATTTGTTTCATCATTTTTTTCTTTTGTTTTGTATTTCTTCACTTTAAAAATAGGTATTGAGTTACTTTTCTCTGTTAGGTACTATGCTAAATGCTGTTGAGTCAGAAATGAAAATACTTTGTCAGCCCTGAGGAAATTCATGAAATTCAAACTACAATTATCAACACTAAAAAAATGAAATCAAATGGAGATGGGGAATTTTTAACAGGTGGATAGGCTTGCATTATTGAATATATTAATAATTTTTAATATATGCTATTACAGATGTACATAAAGTATCTCATATATAAATAACATTAGTAGGCATTCCAAAAACTCCCCTCAAGCCTTCTCACAATCACCATCTCATCCTTATAATACTGTAAATTACTATTATCTCTTTTTGAGCTTTATATCAATGAAATTTTGTAAGTTGTATTCTTTTACTTATGTCCCATGTAATAGATTTATGTTGTTGCTATGAACATTCATATACATGTTTTTGGTGCACACATGTACATATTTCTGCTGCATGGGTGTGCATATTTTTACCCTTAGAATATTTATAGAATGATGTTACAGTATCACAAATCATTTGACTGACTGAAGCTGACTAAGGTTTTCAAAACCTCTATTCACTGAATAAAAAAATCATGTCCATGAATTACAGGATCTCCCAAATCTCACAGTTAAGGAGCGCCTACATGCTAAAGACTTAAACCTTGCCTAAGGAACATTTATGTGAACACTTAATAATTTATTTAATTATTTGCCTACTTGACATTTTATGGATATGTGTGTGTGTGTGTGTATGCATCTGATCATTTTGTTAAAGCTGTATTCAACTATATATTTTATATGATATTATATCCTTTTACCATAGTTAATGTCTGGGGGCAAAGAATGATAACATAGGGAAAATGATATTGCAGAAACAATAGCACTTTTGTTTTGTTATAAATTATGTAATGATGAATCATATAGTGTGCTCAGAATCAAAGAAAGAAAGTAAAGTGTCATTTCCTCCCCATCCTCCTTGCCTCACCTCTCTCTGGAGTATAAAAAAATTCACTGTCTCACATTATGCCTATGAACTGTGCACTGTAGTTTAACAGAAGAATAGAGAAAAATAATAGCCATAGTTGAAGTTAGAAAGAAATTGTAATAAGGCAAAAATGCAATTACTCAATTTGGAGTCTGACAAGGAGAATGGAAGTAATTCTATTTTTTTTTTTTTACTTAATTTGTAAACACTTTTAATGAACACATGCTCTTCATACTTCAGTTTTCCTCTTCTTGAAAAAACAAAACAGAACCACAACCAATCTCTCTCTTCATTTAGTTCTCCAAAGCAGTATTCCTTTGATTTACAATTAAGAGTTGCTATATGTACAAAGTACCAGAATTATTCTGGCATGTTTTGAAAAGCAGTATATTGAGTGATTGCACATTTTCTAAAAAAAATAAAAAAACTAATTTCGAATTAAAATGATTCTCACAATTTTTCCACACAAGTCTCAAAAGTTGTTGAATTGAATTGAGAGCCTGAGATAGTCCCTTAGGTACCTCATTCCTGGGCTGTGATATGTTCTAATATTTTTATTTAGAATATTAGTTTCTTTTAACTAATACAAGGTCTATGAATTAGAAACCCATAAGAAACTTGGAACAATCTCAACACTATTTTTATTAAGCAGACTCTACACCTCAATAGTCTGACTGATAAATTCCATATGTGCACATATATTAATATAGAAAATTTCCACAAGCTAAAATATATGGGGATTGTTTTTGCTATTATAGTTTATGTCTTTAAAATAGATTTAATTTGGTAGCAAGTTGATTTTCATGACATCTTTACCTATGATGTCATTATCGTTAAAGTACAATTTAAAAAAATAATTTTGAATGTCATTGGTGGCATTGTCTGATACTTGGGCAAGGAAATTCTGGTGTGAATCTAGCTCAGCCATTTATGGTTGAGCCACCTTAAAGAAGCTGGTTTTGCGGGTGCTAAAATTTCTTACAAATTTAAACAAGTCACTAGGAGAATGAAGTTGATTTTCCAGGCAATATTATTTTGCAGGCAGAAAGGCCAATGTTTACAACAGGTGAGAAAGCAAGACATTCACTACTTCACTTACTGGCATCGACTGTGACCAAACCAGTGAGAAAATGCTCGGATTTTTCTTTCTGTCTTCTCATCCCTTTGGCACAAATCCTTTCAAACTCTTCAAATATTTTCATGAAGTATTCTGCCCAGAAATACTAGTCATTTCATCTGCAATGTTTCTTCCTCAGCATGGAATCATGACTGCAAGGCCGAGGCTCCACGCAGGGCGCTCACTCCCGCCCGCGGGCAGCGGGCCCAGGCCAGCGTTTGACCTTTGACCTGTCTCTCCTGGAAGTCTCCGCGATCTGTGTTTCCCCCCAACTATTATAATAACTCTGCGACTAAAGTGGACATATCCCTCCTTGCTCATAAAATAGTTCTATTCCCTTTTGCCTATTATACTTAAGATGATTTTTGCCCACTCCACAGATGGTAGTTGAAAAGAAAAATTACGTTTGTTAGTACAGTATATCTTAAACCTGGAAGAAAAGTATATGGTTATCTAGTAAAGATCCAGCCCCCTTTTGTGACAAAACACTTGTGTGGAAAAATTGTGGCAAAACACTTTTATGGCCTTCATAAATTGAACTAATCACTCAATTGCTCAAACCAGAAATTTGGTAGCTATCTTTTGTCACTTTCTTTCCTTCACTTCTCAGTGCCAACCAACAAGTACCGTCTCAGCCTCTTAAATGCGCCTCGCAGCCGTCTCCTTTGCTCATCCTCTCGTCAACTTCCTCACATAAATTAAATCCCACCCTACCTGAATTCTGCGGCAGACACCTCATCTAGGCCTGCCCTCCTCCTTTCCCGGCCCGGCGCAGGGTCTTTCTCCTCAGGTAAGTTCCGCGTGGGGCCTCCCTGATGTGCGTGGCCGCCTCCGCCCTCGCCACGCGCGGCAGCTAGCGGCGGGCGGCGGGCGGCAGCTAGCAGCGGGCGGCGGGCGGCAGCTAGCGGCAGCGGGCGGCGTGCGGCTCGTCCGCCATGGCCGCCCCAGCCCAAGCCGCCCGCGGTCCGGCAGGCGCTGACCGAGCCTCTCCCGCGGCCTGGTCAGTGCGGCTCTGAGACAGCTGGTCCCTGGCGACCCCCGCATATTATCTCCCCTTGCTGTTTGCTCTCCGGATGGGGGGATTCACCTCATTTCTTACATTGTACTATCTTTTAATCCTTTCAGATCTTCTGTTTTCTTCCATTTGAATGAAGCATCCTTCCATTTGCAATTCTAGTAATGGCTAATGATTTCAGGTCACAAATTAATATTTATTTCCCTGAAAGTCTTTTATTTTATCTCCATGATTAGGTCCATGTGTGTTCGGGGGTCTTTGTGGTCCCTAGTTAACCAGTTTCCCCAGAAACTACTTTTCCTGTTCAGCCTGATTTGTATGAAAGGTGAGTCGTAGACGTCACCGTGCGTGAGCAGTTCGCTCCGGCCGCGCTTTTACAAGATGGAAAGCGAGAGACGCCAGTGGCACGGACCGGACACAGGAGCCACATGGCCACCTGAATGGCAGCGTCTCCATATGTAGACCATTCTCAGAGTTTGGGGGTTCTTTCTCCTTCCATATATATCTATATATAGATATATGTAGATATACATATAGAGATATATATTCAGTCCAGGTCAGTTACCAGCTGTTTCTTTCATAATGGGAATTGAAACTCTTTTCATGGTAAGTTTTGATTTTTGGCATGAAGCTGTGTCTGTGCTGAGGTGGTTCCGTCTGGAGATCCCTGGGCCAGTTACATCAAGCTAAGTGACACAGCTAAGTGTAGCACTAAGTGACACAGCGCGCGGGCCCTGCGAGATATTGCATGGGGCCTTATGCCACCATTAATCTTTTAGTCGTGATATGTCTCTTATAGTATACTGCAGTCTGACACCCTTTCTATGCTCCTTCATTATAATACCAACTAAGGAAAATTATTTTTCATTTATATTTATTTCTGTACACTGTTTTGCCCGGTGATAGTAGCAGTCATTCTTTCATGTTCATCACTGCTACTTCTTTGCCAAATATTGTGGCTATTGCTTAATATTTAAGTAATAGTGACAAATTTTAATAACAACTAAATTTACATATAAATGCAATTTGAATGCAAATTAAACACTTATTAAGCTAAATTCTTACTAGATTGGTGGGCTCCAAATCCACAAAAATTTAGTTAACAGCTAAATACCCTAGTCAACTGACTAATCAAATGGGCTAGTCAATTAAATACCTAGTCAACTAAATACCCTAATCAACTGGAAATGTATATACTTCTTAAAGTAGATTACAAAAACTTGAGAATATTTATAATTTATTGACTGAAAAATAGTACAATTTTATTTGGAGACAAGAGTTTGAAGAAGAAAAAGATTTCACCTACTTGAATTCTTGTTAAGCACCACTTACTTTGTGACTGCAGTACCTTGGACAATCTCTCCAAGATGTGGTCTTTATCACAGTCTTTGTCACCTTTATTGTTATGATGAAAATAATGTACACAAAGATGCTATGTTAGCTGAAAAGTGCTATCTATGTATCTCATTGCCACCAATCTCACCTCAATTTTAGACATAGGGCACAGAAAGCTGAATTGAAAACTCTATTATTATATATCATATAAAAACGTAACAGAAAGAAATATAGTAAAATTAAGTTAATGTTATATAGTATTGTATAATATTGAAATAGTTACATATGTATTATATATTTTATATGTTTATGGAAGTTTTGTTACCATCAGAATTTTCTCTTGTGAATGATATGCTTTTCTTATCATTTTTTTAACAAAGTAGTAGATGTTCATTTTAAAGATGCTATAATTTTAATATAGATTATTACCATCAATAGAATGACAAATCACAAATCACTTATCGCCATCAATCCTTCTTCCAGTGGAGCTATATTTTAAATTTATCTTTCTTTGACCTAAATCCAATAAAAAAAGGGAAAAAGACTCCTTGTGTTTTTAACATACTATTACACCACCACAGTTCAGTAACTTACTTGGCTTTAGCCTTTGCATGCTGACTGTCTGTAGTTGAACCTTCCAGTTTTTATGCTTTCTTTTATGCTTTCAGTTTGAAAACTTTTTTTTTTTTAAACAGCTACCTGTTAACAGCAAGAAGAGAAAAACAAAATTTATCTTATCCAGCTCCATCCAAAACAAGGTGCTATGATTTCTTTGACTTCATTTTGACGAGTAATGCCCTGGGCAGGCCTGTAGCATCACCACTTGTCACTATAAGGCAACAGAGTGGAAAAGACACGAGATAGTGTAGAAATAAGCAAGTATAGCATCTAACTAATTAAGATTAGGAGTGAGCAGGAAAATATTTTCTAAATCCAAGATACCCAATCCTTCCATATCTACCACAATACAAAACATACGTGACTGCCGTGCAACAAGCTCATTTTGGAAAATACAAACTTTTTCCTGAAAAATTTAAAGTAAAAATGGTAGATGAAATAAAAATCTATAATTGAGGCAAAACATGTAATAATCCTGCTTTTGTTATACAAGGTTGTCTCATTCAGAAATAAATATTGATTTATTCTAAAATAGGAGGTAAAATATTTTTTAAATCACCTATTAAAATTGTGCCAGGAGGTATAGAGTATGAAGCACCCAGTAAAGCTTGTTGCTTTTTTCTTGTCCTTTCATGCATTATTCCCATGTTTGACTACATTACTAAATCCAGCCACTCCTGATTGCTAGCCATATCCTTCTACTACGGAGATTGACAAATATTGAAAAAATAAATCTTCTGTATCACTCATTGCACTTTCCATGTTTTCAGTGACGTATAGGATCATTACTATAAGCCAGTTGACAATGTGCTCAGAAATGAAGACAGTATAAGAAAACAAATACAACCCCCTTCCTTCAGGAAATTGTAGCAGTAGGAGAAACTCACAACTGCTTTACCACACTTTTTTCTTTCTCATGTGTTCCCATTAATTCCTGGCCAGGTTGCTATGGATCCAAGACAGAGCTATCCTCATTTCATTTAAAACAACTGAAGCTCAGTGTAAATATACCAAAATTTGAAAATAAATCACTTGAGCAGCAGCAGTATGTGTAAGAATTCTTCATACAGCATAAACAAGTGACCTCCTAACAAAGAAGAGCAATTTTGTGCTGAATGATCATACTCGTTTTCTTTTTTGCTAAAATTATACTTCCAAATGGATAATACTGGCTTTGTTATTCATAATGTCATCACTGTATTTTCATATAAAGTTGCCTTGAATTTCTGGAATTGTCCTTGTTGTAATTCCGATGTCATTTTCAGCTACTAGATCAGAAAGTTATAGATATTTTAGAGTCACCTACAGAGACATGCAAGTCCTAGACTTCATTATAACATTACAAAGTCAACTTGTGTTTATTTTTTTGTAGTGATTCCATTAAGTGAATGTATCTTATCAGTTTGCAACCTGTGAAATAGGTGGTGACCATTTGTTACAGTATTTTTGTAATTTCTTTCAGTTCCATTATTTATGCTAATTTTGTTCTGTGAACCAAATGTTGAAGGCATTAGCAGAAAGAAAACTTCTTAAGAAAGGAAAAAAAAAACTGTCAGTGTATATTTCTTGTAATTTCCAAATATTACACTTACTAGTAAAAGAAATAAAACTAGCATAAAATATAAGCCAACAAGCAAGTTTTTCACAGTGCCAGTTATCTTATTACTTCCCTCCTTCATTACTGACTCCAAGTTTCTATTGCCTTTTTCAAGATTTTTAGCTATTTCAACTCTCCTTATCTAGTGGAGAAAATATAACGTCCATTTCCATAGTTTCCCAGTAATCCATTATGTATACAAATGAAATATTTTTCTCTATACTTTCACTGATAGAGATGATAGCACAAGGAGCAAATGGAGCCTTTTGGTCTCTACACATAAATCCTACAAACTCAAAATATCACAAAATATTCCTACTATTCCTTTAATGACTTAAGGAGTCTGAAATACCCAGCTAATAGCATTCCTACTAGCGGACGTAAAACCTACGGGTTACTGAAGTGCTTGATTGTGGAGATCAGGTAACCATTTTTTAAATTTTATTTTTAAAGGGCATCATAATTGTATTTATTTGGGGGGAACATAGTGATGTTTTGATACATGTATAGTGATCAGACCAGGGTAGTTACCATATCTATCATCACAAACATTTATTATTTTTTTTTGCTGGGAACATTCAATATCCTTTTAGCTATTTGAAACTATATAATATATTATTGTTAACTATAGTCACCCAAGTAAACCATTTTACAAATGGGTCATTGTATGTGATTTAGTGTTACTAAATTAAAACTTTCAGACTCATATGCATATTTGGATTAAAACATACTAAATGTTGGCCGGGCGCTGTGGCTCACGCCTGTAATCCTAGCTCTTGGGAGGCCGAGGCGGGCGGATTGCTCAAGGTCAGGAGTTGGAGTTCAAAACCAGGAGTTCAAAACATACTAAATGTATGAGGGTGTAATTGATTGTTTAGAGCATATGCTCTCCTTCAAGAGAATGATCGTGATTAAAATTCAAATAAATAAAAGAAATTGAATCCTGTATCACACAGCATCCTCTAAATAAGAACAGTAGCTGGCAGGTATATCACTTCCAGACACACTTTTTATCCTAGCATGACTTGTATCCCCATGACCTTTCAGCATATTCCCCAAGGCCGCAGCAGTTCAATTCCAACCTATGCCACTGTGTCATGTAAAATCACACACAAAGGCAAATAAGTATTTTTATTTATATTACTTAGTTGACAGAATAAAAGATATACTGAAATACATTTGGCTTTATTAGAAATTTGAGAAATCTGATCATGGCTCTTACTTGTGGTGCTTTCTGAGATTCTTACACATTTTTTTTGCTTGCTTATAATTTACGTTTCATGACTTCTAGGAG